GAAAAAGATCATTCAAACCTTTAGTAATGATACTAAAATTCATACTCTGGCTTCCATCTTCAAAATCCATTCAGGAACCAACACGAGAACTGTGAATAATTTTTAAAAAGGAGGAAACAGTAGAAAGGAAAACTGGATCATGTGGTCAAAACAGGAAAAGGGATTATCATTTTAACTTAGAGCTAAATAGATTCTTATTATTCAAAGTAAAGAGATTCTTATTATTCAAAGTAAAGTCCAATTGTGTTTTAAAAACTTCGGAGAATTCCAGTAAGATATCTTTAATCATTTCTAAGATACAAGTGTTCAAAGCTTAATCTAAGAAATGGGCTGTTACACGATTTGGACTTCAACTTTGTACTTCTAACATCTCCGGTTATAAATCTGAACTTTTATTTATATAGTTTTCTTATCGTCTGGTTCACACTCCTACCCGATCTTTTAAAGTAGTAGAGTTTTATTCCTTGTTTCCTGGGTAGAAATGGGTTTTCGGTTGCTTCTAAAAGCTTTTTCCTTCTCTTTTACTGCCGCTGCGTCTTAATGGTATTATTTCCTGCTTGGGATGGTACTTCTTACACTGTAACCCTCTTCCTCGAGTGGCTCTTGTACAGAGTGAACATCACTGTAAAAATATAAAACTTTATTTTATTAAAACATATTTGAACATGTTCAGCATGTTTGTAAAATCTGTTTATGTTAAAATCTTTGCCCACAGTTGGTTTAAAAAAATGAGGAAAATATCTAATAGAGCCAACATGATAGCATCAGTAACGGGGGCATAGTTTCCAGCACCACATTTGTAAATAAAAACAAGGTACAGGTAACTCTATAAAAATCAGGTGACAATATGACATTATTTGTATTATGAACAAGGATACCTTTTAAAAATTATAAAACATCAATATTTTTATTTATTCTGATGAACACTGTACTTAGAGTAATGTTTTAGAAATTCCAATCTAAAAAAATATTTCAAACCAAAATTTTTCCTATTTCATACGAGCTGAGCGTTTAACGTCAGTAGTGGTGAACGTGCTTCAAATACAAATATCTAAGATTTACTTTTTTACAAACCATATACCCAGAGTTTGGATACTTCGAACTGGTGTGATGGTTAGCAAAATGGTTTTCAGCGGCAAATGACGATAGAATAATGAGTTCGATCCTCATAATTGCTTCATACGTTTGGCCATATGCCATGTCTAACAAAATCGTTTTATATTTTCAGATTGGCCACTTTGATGTGGCGTCGTGGCTCGCAAGCTCGTCTTCGTAGGATAATGGTCATTGAATAGTGAATTCAATTCGCACTAGTTGCTTCATATGTTTGGCATTGTGCCACGTCTACGCTACGCTTACTAAATCGCTTTATATTTTCAGTTTGGGGAAAGAGATGTGGTATAATGTCTGGCAAGCCCGTCTTCCGAGGTTAATGGCGATTGAATAGTGAGTTCAATTGTCACTAGTTGCTCCATTTGTTTGGTCTTGGGCCATATCCAAGCTACATATTAGTTAAAACTCCAAAGAACCTATAACTGAAATTCGTTCTAAAGATTTTGATAAATTTATGGATATTCCCTAAATCTAAACATTGATTTATAAGGATAAATATATATTTCATTTTTTTTTCAGTTTCTTCTTCTATGTGTCATCTCCTATAGTGGAACACACCTATTCTTTAGTTAATACACTCCCCCACCTATAATAAGTAGGAGTAGTAATAGTAACGAGGGGTCGCTCGTGAGTTCGGTCAGTCAGTCGATGCCGGACGACCGTTAGTCGGAAACTAAAGTATCAGCGACCACGACTAGATTTCTATTACATCAGGTTTCTAACGTTTTGTACGTCGAACCTATTTAATGACCGACTTAGTACAAAATACAAGCCTCCACTGGGAAACCACTCCATAACATCTCCCTTCAGGACATTTTGATTTGTTTTCAACAGGTTTGCTGCACTGAAAATAGTTTGTCTTTTTGTTATCTCTCCAAAACCTTGCTCTACAATCTATTTGCTGAAGCTCTCTAGGTAGGTTATACGTTGTTTTCTTCTGTCCCTCATGCCATCAATCTGTCCTGTTTGTATTAAATTTCGTAAAACCTCGTTCGCTGGAATTGCCAATTCTCTTTTCCCGGTGGTAAGTATATCTTTTTTTTTATTTTCTCTAAAATCCATGGTATTCTCAGCATCCTTCTGTCGAATAATGTTTCTGTTGCTTAAAGTCTCTTCTTCATTTAACTTAAAGACATCACGTTGAGACACCACTTTCCGTACGATCACCGAAGGTAACCAATGTCTAGCGAATGCCATGTTCTGTAAGCTTGGGTGTGCAGCTGGTGTAATGGATAATAGCTTGGGATTCTTAACTGAGGAGACGAGTTCCAATTCACGTTAGGCTTCTTATATTCACTTACGGGAAGATAACTTGGAAAATGTCTAAATCTACTTCTTCTCCCCACAGATATGGATTAATTATTATTACTTTATCGCTAAATCATTATCTCCCTACCAATAAAGATATTGCAATCTAAAAATATTTTCTGGCTTTAAATACCTGCAGAGTGTTAATAAGCCGTAGGAATCAATCTTCGTCTTAGAGAAGACTAGCAGTAGAGCTTGGCGTTGCCCGGGGATGTAACAGTAAGAGACAGATCAAGTATCGACCATCATAAAGACTGAAAAATAAAATTGACAAAGATTATTGTTTAAGGTTGACGGACACGCATGTCTTAATTAGTTTTTTTTTTACGCATTGGTCAAACCTAAACTCAAACAAAAACATTGTTTTCAATCGTTATGAGTCTCCCGATTGAATAGAATTTTATTATAAACAATTGTCAAATGGAATTTTTAAAGCATTCTGAATGTAAAAATAAAGAAAAAAAGTGTGCAAGACAATAAGAAACGCTACCTGCCAAAAAAAAAGTGATGTTTTGTTGAAATCGGTTGAAAAATGTAGGAAATCCGATCCCATATATAACCGAACACACACACACACACACACACACACACACACACACACACACACACACACACACGCACACACAACCTGGGTTTTATAATGAGTATAACTCGATATGAGTTGTCCCCCTTTCTTGCCTCTTAATCGTGTTTTCAAATTGATTTTCCAATTTTTGGCGCTGTCAGAACCACCGCAAGGTAATTTTACGTAGTCCTGTGAAGTTTTGTTGAAATCGGTACTCAATTCTTTGTTTGTAACGAAGTTTTCCTGGTTTTTGGAAATCATTTTTTGCTATCCCAGTGCGCCTTTAAATTCAAGTGTTGTGGTGTCTTTCCCTGTTAATATACACCCCTGGTTCAGTTTAAGTTTCTGGCTTGTAGACATTTTAGATGTCTACACACTTGAAGCTATGAGCGTACTGACTAGTTCTAAATTTTTTATCCAGTAAATCGTTTTTTTCACACATAGTCTTATCTTTATGATCAACATCCTTTTTTCAATGTTTGTTCAAATTAAGCAATTAAAAGATTAAAATATTCACTTGTTTGTTGAGAAACTGCATTTTCTAGTTAAATGTAAATGTTTCACAAATACATTTCGATTAAAGTAACAGTACACTATTTACATTGTTCGGACTATTGTCCTCACCGTTGTCATCATGTTTCAGCCGTTGTACACTCCGGCCTTCTTCAGGTATGGAATGGAATGTCGAAATGAAACTTTTATTTCGCTCACTGGGGTAGACTGTTCTAGTTCAACGTGCCATGTCTAATGGATGTCAGATATCTGTTAATTCCCCTCTGAAAGTTCTCCACTGCCTTAACCAGGTATTGGACTGACACTCTTTGGGTCGTGTTACTGGATCTAACTAACGCCTTTATCCACCTTGCCATGTGTCTGTGTATGAATTTCTGGGTATTACAAACCTAATGTCTACCAATGAGCGAAATAAAGTGTTCAGTTCGACATTCCAACAACCTGAAGAAGGGTAAAGCGTACAACGGCCGAAACGTTTGCGATAAACAACAAAGATGAGAACATTAGTCCGAATAATGTAAATAAACATGGCCTCACAAAGATGAGAAATGTTGTAATAAATATGGCGACAAAATAATGTCCGAATAACGTAAATAGTGTACATAATAGCTCATCTCAGAAATATAGACAGATACTGAAAGGCCGAAACGTTTAATAAATATGGCGACAAAGATGAGGACAATAGTCCAATAATGTAAAAGTACATAATACCTCATGAAATAGGACAGATACTGAAAGACCGAATAATGTGGCGACAAAAGATGAGGACAATAGACCGAATAATGTAAAAAGTGTACATAATAACTCATCTCAGAAATATAAACAGATACTAAAGTAACAGTATTTTATATATTTTTAGCCGTTTTTGTACCTGGTTTTAAGATTTTGACCAGGTGTGTATTTCCTAGTTATTAAAATTGTTGTACGTGCTCGATTTTACTATCTGCAATTTGTAATTGCGTGTCGGGCTGTTTCCTTTTCGGACTATTATATATTTTGTCTTTTTATATTTGATGATTAGTACTTTATTCTTCCTTTCTTTTCCTATCGTCTGTAAAATTATCTACAGTTTTGTTTCTTTGTCTGCTATCAGCATTCTCATCAGCATATCTAATATACAAATAGTTAAGCGGTTGCTCTTATATATGACAGGACACACTGCGTCCTAATTCGATGGGGTTAGCTTTCTTTTTGGAGTATATTTCCTTTTCTTCACATTGTTTATTCACAACCCTTGCGATGAGTCATAAGAATTGAAAGCCTGTACCTCATATAAATTTTCGCCATCTTGTCTATCTACAACAGCCACATTTGAAAAATGTTATTTGCATATTAGAAAAGATGATCCATAAATTTAGTAGGCATAACATGTCTATACTTTTTAATAAAATGTTTACTTTAAAGATTACTGCTGGAATATACGGGAATTAAAGAAGAATAAAATATATTTATTTCTTCCTTAGAATTTTGTCTTCTTTCTCTACTATCTTTCAGACAATTCCGTGGAAACACCGATTCCCATACAACTGCCGAAGTTAAGCAAAGTCGAGCCTGGTCATTACCTTGACAGGTGACCGCTTGAGAATATCAGGTGCTGTATGTTTGAATGCGTGGGTGGTGTAGTGGATAATGACTCGGAATTGTTAATCGGAGAGACGAGTTCGAATTCAAATTCAATTGGGCTCGTTATATTCACTTACGTGCAAATATACTTGGCAAATGAATGCATCCATGTCTTCTCCCAGATCTATTGGTGAAATAGTAAGACTTCTGTCACTAAATCATTATCTACAAAAATTTTTTTACAATCTAAAAATATTTTCATTCTATAAATTACCTGTCATACCAGTTTCACGTTGTTGTATATTACCCGCTTCTCATCGATTGTCATACATACATCATTAACTTGTTTGGACGAAGACTGGCCTTTGGGAAGATGGATGGTAATATATTTCCGTTCCATTCTTTCTGGTCTTTCATCCAAACATGTTGAAGATGTATATATGACGTGACAATCGATGAAATGTGGATAGTTTATAATAACATGAAACGTGAAAGAATATAACGCACGTAAAATAAACCAACAACAATATCACTGTAGAATGGTTTACATCAAAGTTTGATGACGTATATGTGACAATCGATGGAATGTGGATAGTTTACATTAACATGAAACGTGAAAGAATATAACGCACGTGAAATTGACCAATACTAACATCACTGTAGAATAGTTTTCATCAAAGTTTGATGACGTATATGTGACAACCGATGAAATGTGGATAGTTTACAATAACATGAAACTTGAAAGAATATAACGCACGTGAAATTGCCCAACACTAATTTCACTGTAGAATTGTTTTCATAAAAGTCTGATGACGTATATGTGACTACCGATGAAATGGGTTGATTTACAAGACCGTGAATAGATTGAATGATTGATTTGATTTTTACGATTTATCAAACATTTTGTGGGTTATTTAAATCCGAAAAATATTTTGGATTGTATGAATAATTATATTTGCGAACAAATATTGCACTAACATTTTTTTTTAGAAAAGATATTTTTTTCAAATACATGTCATACTATTTAATCCATACCTGGGGAGGGAGAAAGATGGGTTCATATTTTATCAAAGATATTAGGGCCTAAATGAATAGAACTGGAACCTGTTCTCGACTCTCTGGTTTCTCCTTGTGAGTCGCAAATAACATGAAACGTGAGAACTCGTGGCCAAGGGCACTTAGTCCTCAGAATGTACCGAAGTGTGTTACCTATACAACTGAATTAATGTCGCATATATACGGAAATCAGTGAAAAGCTGATAGCTTCAACAGGATGAAACGTGACAGACGGTGATGTGCGGAAAATGAACTAGCTATTATTCTCCTGAAATTCGGCCTTGTGCCACATATAAGCTATGCTTATTAAATCACTATATTTTGGCACACTAAGACATTGCATTTACATAAGTAACAAAGTAATCGTTCTAAGTAACGTGGTTAATCGAAATAAGTGCCGCGTAATTCTGTTTCAAAACAATAGTAATTCAGCTTTGGAAAAAACTTTTAACAAAAACAAAAAACAAAAATAAATTAAAAAACAAAAACGAAACAAAAGCAAAAAAAAAAAATTCTATGCTGGTATCATAGCGGTCACAAAACCATCAGCGTTGGTCCTTTTAAATGCCTTTGCTTAGAACTAAACTTTCCCAGTGCCATCTAAAGGAAAAAATACAAGAAACTTTTTACTAAAATAATTTTATGCAAAGGTGATTCCTCGTGTAGTAAGTGTTAGAGAGATAACCTGAGAGATTATTAGTATATAACGAATTTAATCCTGGGTTTATGTGTCGTGTTCCTTCAGGACGTTGACGGCCATGGCTCTCATCATCTTCTTGTTCTTTGTAGCTCTTAATAAATTTTGTCTTTCTGAACTTTCTCCTAAACCCTGTTCCGCCATCCATCCATACATCCAAACCAGCCAGGTAGGTTATGCTTCGTTTTCCGCCAAACAATCAGATTAAAAAAAAAAAAAAAACGACTTAAAAAGGTTTCCCACAAAGAAAAACCCATATTTAGTAACTCACTAGCAGCATGGCCCGGCTTTCCCCGTGCTTGATTCAAAAATCGTACGACTCATACAGCAATCGCTATCACTTGACCTAAAATATTTTTTGCCTTTCCTTGCCTTTAAAGGAGTGCTCTTTGCCGTGCTGATGTTACTACATGCCTTACTTCTTGCCTATCTCACACTGCGAATTTTTTCTAAGCTCTATACTAAACATTAAATCTATTACGAAAAAAGAACTAAACAAAATGAACACAAAACGATCAGCTTAAAAAAAACCCTCGTAACTGGAAAAACCGAATGAAAAAAAGAATTTTAACAACAAATACTTTTTCACACCGAACCCAGTTCTGCGGAATCAGAATCAACGTTGAGTTTAAGCAAACGAATGAGCCAATTGGAGTAAAGTGTCACGCAGATTTAGATTTTTCCCACTTGTGACAAATGCAGCAATCGATTTTTTTTTGCATGCTAGCATGCGAGTTAACATTCGTATCAGTCAGCTGTTGGCTCTCACGCTGGCCAATAGAATCTTCCTGCCTATTCGTGGTAGTCAGCTATTTGTTCTCACTACATGAAAAGTACCGTAGAAGCATGAAAAAATCGATTATTTACACTATCGATGAGAGTTGGGAAATGCAAAATTGGTGTTGGCTCTCCCACTAACATGGAGTATGTGCATGTAAATTTTGGTGCAATTCCGTCGAAAATTGTGGCCGTGCATTCGTTACACACACACACACACACACACACACACACACACACACACACACACACACACACACACACACACACACGCACACACACACACGCACACACACACACACGTCCTGCCTTTTGTAGATAGAGATAAGATTACAACACATTTTTCTTTTTTATTTACCACACCATTTTTTTCAAATTTAACTAGAATGTTCCAAATTAGGATAGGGTTGTTTTTTTAGAACGTTCTAGATTAATTTTATGATTACCTTTAGGAATGATTAAAAGTATTGCGTCATTCCTTCTTCTGTCAAGCGTACTTTCGACATTGCCAAAATGGGAAAAAGCAAAATAATTGAACAAGACGTCCGTAAACGTATTGTTGACCTTCATAAAAATGGACTTGGTTATAGGAAGATATCTAGTCAGTTAAATGTGCCATTGAGTTCAGGTGGTACGATAGTTTGTCAGTGGAAGACGGGTCATTCCATTCATACCAACAAAAGCTCTGATCGTCAGAGAAAGATGAAGGAATGTACGGAAAGACTGTTGGCGAGAAAACTTGGCAACGAGCCCCGAGTTACGCTTAAAGAACTTCAGGTAGGACTAGAATTAAGTGCAATAAAAGTGAGTACGGATAAAATTAGTCGTTCATTTCGTTGAAGTGATATCTTTTCGAGGACTCCAGAGGAAGAATAAAACACTTCTTAAGTGAAAACACGTTCTTGCTAGACTGGATTTTGCAAACGAGCAGAATTTGGAGAAAATGTACTTAGATCAGACGAAACGAAATCTGAACATTTTGGCAGAAATGCTGTGGCAAATGTCTGGAGAAAGAAGGGTACTGAATATTCTCTGAAGAATACTATCGAAACAGTAAAATTTGGATGCGGGTCAATCATGATCTGGGGTTGCTTTACTACCCAAAGTGTAAGGAACATTGAAGTAATATAAGAGAGGATGAATGGAGCATATTATGGGGACATTTTGTAGAGAAATTTACGTCAGAGTGCACATTCGCCGCGCTTGAAACCAGGTTGGGTCTTTCAACAAGACAATGATCCAAAACATATAGCAAAGTTTACAAAATCATGGTTAAGTTCAAATAGAATAGACGTTCTAAAATGGCCAAGTCAATCTCCAGATCTCATTCCGATTGAAAAATTTATGGAGAGAACTGAAGCCAAGAATTCAAAGAAGGAACCCACAAAGCATAAAATAAAGGAATTTTATCGGGAAGAATGGAAAAATATTAACCAAGAAACATGCAAAACATTCGTAGGGGAGTACACTAAACGTCTACATGTTGTAATTAGCAATAACGGTTACGCGACGAAATATTAATAGCTAATTTCATAAATTTATTGTACATTTTTGCGTTAGTAAATATTGTGTTTTTTTCGTTGGAGTATTTTTATTGATATTTTTTAAATCTGTTTCACTAAAGGATTAAACATATGTACTATTAGCAGTAAAAGTTTCATTAATCAGTGTTAGAAATACTTAAAGAAACGTTTCTTTGTAATGTGTTGTAAGCTTTTTTGTGACACTGTATATATAGTTTTGTGTGTGTCTTAGTGATATAAATGTCTCTCTGAGACCAAAGCATGTCATTGTTTTTCCTTTCAGCCATTCTTTTCTGTCCGTTAAATACGGTGTGATTAAATCACGTCTATAATAATACCCATAATAGGGGAAATGCAAATAGAGGAATAAATCTTTCTTTTGAACTTCTCTCTGTTATATAGTGAATGTGTTAATTGTATAGATACTTTTGTAATTAAGCATTATCAGAGGAAAATATACGAGAGGGAATGTACTGACATTTTTCGCCTTGACATACTTCCCAAAATTTGACCAAAGATCAGATATTTAAACATTTTTTTTATTTTTTTTAAGAAGGACTTCTTAGCCAAACCGCTCTCATTTCTACATCTCCATCATAAGACCTATCCATTTACTTAATACTAGTAATTTGACAGTGAATGACACTAAACAGAACTCGAAGTGCTTTCTTGGAGACCAGAGTTACTCTATTCTGCCAATTCCTTTTTGAGAGGTTGCTTGTCAATATGAAGCACAACCTCGAGATGTTAAAAGGGTTTCAAATCAGAACGATATTGAACCTGTCACGTAACACTGTCAGCCGCTATTTGCACGGTAGATGCTTGAACTTTTTCTTTTCTCCTCTTTTTTTTTTTGCCTATTTCCTATATATATTTATTTATTTTTGGTTTCACGTTCAACTTTTGTTTTAAGAGGCATTATTGGACGTGATAACTTTTTTGCACTCCTTAAGTTCGGGCCTGTATCAAAGAATAACCATACTTC